TGTGGGAAAATTGGAACACTAATGTATTGTTACTGGAGTTGTGGAGAGCAGTTTGGAACTGTTTCCAAAGGGCAATAAAAATGTGCATATTCTTTGACCCAGCAATATCACTTCTAGGACTGTATCCCAAAGACAACATAAAAATGAGAAAAGGACCGACAGGTACAAAAATATTTATAGCAGCTCTTTTTGTGGTGACAAAGAACCATAAATTGAGAGGATGCCCATCCATTGGGGAATGGCTGAACAAGTTGTGGTATATGAATGTAATGGAACACTATTGTGCTATGAGAAATGATGAGCAAGTGGACTTTAGACTTTTATGGACTGATGCTAAGTGAAGTGAGCAGAACCAGGAGAACATTGTACACAGTAACAGCCATGTTGTGTGATGACTAACTTTGATTGACTTAGCTCTTCTCAGTAATGCAAGGATCTAAGACATCTCCAAAAGTCTCATGATGGAAAATACTATCCATATCCAGAGAAAAAACTATGGAGTTGGAATGCGATCAAAGCTTACTATTTGCTCTTTTATTTTCTTCTGCTTTGTTTCGTTTCCTCTTTCGTGTGTTTCCTCCTATTGGTTCTATTTCTGCCTTACAACATGACTAATGTGAAAATGTTTAATAGGAATGTATATGTAGAGTCTATACCAGATTGCACACTGTCCTGGGGAGGGAGGTGAGGTGAGAAAAGGAGAAAAATTTAAAACTCAAAAGCTTACGAAAGTAATTGTTGAAAACTAAAAACAAATTAACAAAAAAATAATTAATTAATTAAAAAGAAAGAAATAAATGAGAAATTCCCCTACCTAGAACTCTCTAACAGAAAGAGGACACGATATCTGGAGGGAGGAGAGTGCCTAAGATACCCTCATGACCCATAAGTTGTCAAGAGTCATGTTGGAGAGTTTGAAACAAAGAAACAAAGTTTGAAACAAGCTGTACTCAGGAGACAGAGAGGAAAGTTGTAGGGAGTCTACAGTCTCAAGAATGATGGAACAGATCAGTATTGTGATATTGTGATCAATTGCTGATGATCCTCAAACAACCCTTCAGGACTACCAAATGTCTCACTGAATTCATCAACAGCTCCTTCCTCATTGGTGGATACTTTCACTCTAGCCTAGAAGGTATGAGTGCCACCTACCAAAAATATTAAATAGAAGGCAGAAAGACCAAGTGAAGGTAAAGAGCAGAAAACTGAACGTTGTTACTATTGTTTTTCACTAAAATGAAAAACTGGGCCCAAGAGTCAAAAGACAGACTGAAAATAAGAGATTGAAGTTAAATGTGTCTTGGAAGTGAGGAAAGAGCTTAAGAAAGAATCAAGAATTGAGGTAAAAAGGGGAGTAGTCATAAAAAACAGGCAGATGAGACAACATGATCTGTATGGAAATCATACAGAAGCCTGAGGGGATGCCTAATATGAAAGAAAGTCACCGAATAAAGTAAGATAGGTTATTAAGGAGAGAAAATTTGGATTTAGGACCAATAGCAGGACGATACAAAAGGGATGCTCAGCTTTACACAGAAATCAGAGGCAAATTTGGCATGTTAGAGCTGGGGGGAAAGGAATCACCTGAAACATTTCTTAAGTCAACATTCATTGCAAAAGAGGATAAAAAGGGAAAAATACTTGGAATAACATTTATGATCCTCAAATTCCTTATAATTCAGATTTCTAATTTGCAAAATGATAACAGAAAATCATCTTTCCAAGTGCTGAGATATTGTAATAGATACTGCATAAATACACTGATTGATATAATAACTTAAGGGTTAGAAATGCAAAATTAATCTTAAAAATATTTGATCTTTGTACAAGACCACATATATGGTCCAAATTGAAAAAATTATTTAGTTTCATAAATACTCTAAAGGCAACCCAAGTGTCATGAAAATGAGTTAAGGGGGAGGGGTTTGGAAGAAGGGAAGGTTTTAACAGAACCTAACACATAGTGAGGGTTAAGGGAGGAGGAAGCAGAAAGTGGTAATGAACAGCTCCCAAATAAACCATACTTTGGTATTTTGAAGGCCACTAGCCAGTAGTTTTGCTTCTTCAGAGCATATTACTTGGAGGTAAAAAGTATTACAGTTTATGAGGATGAAAATTAATACATTGTACTGGACAATCCATTTAAGGCTGCCATTAAAATGTAATAAACAACAATGCTTAAAACAAATGACTATTTAGGAAAAGTCAATTCAAATTAAAGTTAGTCAAAATCAGCCTTTATTCCACTTGAGTTTTTCATGGAAATCTCAGTTTCTAGGAGAACTCTTGAGGAAAACTGTATGCTCTTAGCCAAGTGAATAGAAGGCGTTAAGGATGGTCATATTGATAAATTAGTAGAAATCGGGTCTACTGATTTTTAATAACATGTTGATATAAAGAATTCTAAGGGAAAAAAAAAACATGCTTTTAGTAAAGGACTGTTATGCAGCACAGGGAAAAAATATCCTAAACAACTAACTACAATTAAATACTAGATAACAGATGGAATAATCTATTAATATAATCCAAGTTGCTACTACCAAATCAAAAATAAAGAGGCTTTAACCTCTATCATCTTTAGCAAATTGTTCTACAAGCTACTTTTGACCTAAAACTAATTTTCAGTCTCAAACACGTTCATAAAAAATTTTTGAAACAAAGTGGCTGCTCCTGTTCAGTGATATGCAAATAAAAATGCTGACTTTTTAAATAGGGAAATATCTTAAATATCTTATAATATAGTATACACCTCCTCTTAAAAAAAAAAAAAACATGGATTGCTAACTTTTACCCAAAAGAAGGGTTGCTTCTCAAGCAAATATTGATTTTATTCAATATTTTATTTTGTCAAAATTACTATTTTTACCAGGGCCACTGGCAATAATTCCAAGAAATTCTGTATTTAGGCAAAAAGTCAACATGAACTTGCTTTTTCACATAAGCACACATATGCATATAAAGCATGAACTCAGTAAGGGTTCTTTTTGGATAAGAGTTTAGCCATCTTATTTGCTACCCTCATTTGTTTAGGACCATAGTCAATCAGCCAAGTTATAAATAAAATATCCATGATACAGGATAACAGTTTCCCATCCCTATTCATAACTGAATGGAAGACAAATATATACCACAGTGAACATTTCAGGAGGTCAGAGTGAATGAATTCTCCCTGCAGTTCACAAATTGTGCTAATAGAGCAACCAGGACTTACCGTTAGAAAGGCATCCATAGCTTATTAGAATTGTCAGGAGTGCATGCCATGGTCAAAGAATTAATAAGTCCTCATTCTAACATTGGTCTTCTAAGAAGTGGTATACAATTATTCCAGGTCAATGATGCTATGCATCATTAAAGAGAGAGGCAACTAAGATAAAGGACCTACTAGAATGTGTAGCTACTCTTAATCAGCCAAAAAATTGGTATACAAACTTTTTTGCTAAAATTCTTAGTAACCTAGTACTATAAATATAGAATTCATTATGGTATGGGTCTATGTAAATGTACTATTTTTTCACCTCTTTTAGAAAGTCACTCAAGCTTAATGATATAAAATAGAGAGTGAACAACAGATGCTGTAGGATGAAAAAACTAGGATTAAAACCGACATAGCTTCATGTCTCAAGACCCTTAACTCTGCAGGAAAGATATTCTAAAGCATGATTGCTATAAAATCCTATTTAGTTACACTTCCCCCAAGGGCCTACAGGTATCAAAATAAATTCTGTTGCTTTGTATAAAACAGGGGGAGGCATGATAGAAGGGGCAGTGAATTCCATGAATTCAAGCCCCAGCTTTTGTGCTTACTATTTGTATGACCCTGAGAAAGTTACCCAATGGTTCTGGGCATCAACTGCCTCATCTGTCAAATGAGGGGGTGACTTTCAACCAACATGGCTACTTCAACAAGAGGCAGATTGTCCAGCTTTCACATATCTATTCTAGCAAAACCCTGAAGTTTGCACTTGA